AAAAAGAAAAAGAAAGAAAAAAAGAAAGAAAACATAGGGATAGTAGTCATTTTTACCACACAAGGTTGTTGTGAGATTGAAACTACAGATCACGCTGGGTGCAGTGGCTCATGCCTATAATCCCAGCAGTTTGGGAGGCCCAGGCAGACTGATCACGTGAGGTCAGGAGTTCCAGACCAGCCTGGCCAACCTGGTGAAACCCCATCGCTACTAAAAATACAAAAAATTAGCCAGGTGTGTTGGCACATGCCTATAATCCCAGCTGCTCGGGAGGCTGAGGCAGGAGAATGGCTCGAACCTGGGAGACGGAGGTTGCCATGACCCGAGATCACGTCATTGCCCTCCAGCCTGGGCAACAAGAGCAAAACTCCATAAAAAAAAAAAAAAAAAGAAAGAAGGAAGGATGGAGGGAAGGAAGGAAGGAAGGAGGGAGGGACTACAGATTGTATCACAACGTGTGGCACACAGTAAGTGTTCGAGAAATGGCACGAGTTGTCATCACCCTCCCAGTTCTTTCAGTTGTGGGTGTTCCCATCGCCTTAACTCAGTGGATTTTGAACTTTGTACTTGTTTCCATACACAGCACAAACCCTTCACTATCTTTTCTGGTCCTTAGAGCAGCCCTGGGAGGAAAGCAGAGTAAGTAACCTGAGCTCCATTTGACAGAGAACACTGAAACTCATGTGAGGGCCTTTTCCAAGACCACACAGTTAGTGGCCCGGCTGGGATCAGAACCCAGATGTCCTCACTCCAGTCCCTTTGCTGTGTCAGAGTCCAGGACAATCTTGTCTTGTTGCATCTCGGGCCAGTGAAGTGCTGGAATGGAAGCAGCCAGGGCTGGTGGGCTACAGGGGAGAGACTGAGAACCCTGCAGATGCTCCAGTCCAGATGTGGGAGGCGAGGAGCTGAGGTTACTGCTGGTCATTCACCCCCTGCCCCATTCCCAGTTTCCTGCTCACGGGCTCTTCCTGTTTTGCTATGAACTCCAGTTCCCATGGGCCCCACATTAAAGCACAGAAGGACGGGGGCCAGGGCAGGCAGCCAAAGAGACCAAAACAGATGAACAGGGCACCAGGGAAAAGAACAGAGGAAACAGGGAAAGAGTGGACGGGGGTGTGGATGGGACAGAAGGGACCAGATGAGGAAAAGTTGAAGGCTGAGGCAGAAGAGGAGCCTGGCTGAAAGACGGGAGGAAGCACAGGGTGGGACATGGGGAACAGGCGGGGGCTGGGGAGCAAAGTGTGAGAAGACAGCAGGCTGGGTGCTGTTGCAAAATCTGCCCATGTATTCATTTTCACATTTCAGAAAAGCCCCTGTGACACCCCCATCTCAGACTTCTGCCTGCAGCTCTTGCTCTTGTTCCCCCTCATCACAAGGTTGTCCCCTCCCAAGGCCCCCACCCTGGTCTGGGTATCTCTGAGTCACAAGCACAAGGCTCTCCATTCCTCTCGCATGTGTTCCCTCTCTGATTTTCACAAGGCCCCAGCTGTCCTGGAAAAGCAGAAACCAGGGACTCTAGTCACTGAGAGACTGGCACTATTCTGTCCCAGCACCCACATCACCAGTCCAGCTCCCTCCTCTACCTCCCTGCTCCCAGAAGCTCCAGCCCAGCAGGGCAGTCAGAGATGTCTCTGAGATGCCTGGTTTCAAGAAACTCAGGAATCAATGGTCTGGGGCCTGGTACCCTATCTTCTGCGAGCTGGGAGAAGTCTCTTTCATCCACTTTGTTCTTCAACTCCTTCTCCTGACACCTAGTCTCCCCACAGGTGGCTTCCCAGGACCCAGGACCACACACAAGCCCCATCTGGATGGGGGGCACCAGGCTAGGGCCAACTGCTGAAAAAGTAGGTTGGGGACCAACTCCCCCACGCCAGGGAGTTGGCCTCAGCCTCATCTCCTGTTTAGAAGAAATTATAACCAGGACTTCAACTGCCAGAGCTGTCCTACCAGGTTACAGCTCAGAAACCCCAACCGTCATCCCTACAAAGAGGGAAACGGAGAGGAAAGTGGGAGAAGACCAAAACCTGTTGGCAGTATTTCCACGGAGTTTCTGGAGACCAACCACTGAGACTTGCTTCAAGCCAGGGCAAGCAGTGAAGTGATCAGCGGCCGGAATCACGTTCCCACTTTGCCAGCCCCACCCCTGTGCCACAGTCCCACCAGCTTACAGTTGTTAGGTCCAAAGTCGCCAGTCCTATGGGCCTCTTCTATGTTTCCTTGGCTCCTGCAGGAGGCAATGCCCCTGGGAACACACTCGGGGATCTACCAAGTCACATATCTGGTCCTCTAGAACCTCCACAGGTTTCTTCTCACAGCAAGGAGAAACTTGAAGCAGAAACAGGAGCATTCACCAGCCACGGTCACAGGTACTACTGGCTAACTCTCCTGAAAAGTACTCATTCCAATGAAGCAGGCTGCAGGGTAAGGTCTGCAGGGATGGGCAAGGGCAACTGCTTCTTGTTCCCTCCTTCACCGTTCTGGAAGGGTGGAAAGCGTGGGGATCATCTTGCAGACCACTGCGTATCTACTCAAGTGACTTCTGCCCAACCTTCCAATCACAACATAGAGAATAATCCAGAAACCTGGATTCCCAGACCTGAGTTCAGAGATGATACAGAAGGCAGAAAGGAAAGATGTAACATTGATTTCATGCCTACTACATACATTTATCTTTACATGCATTATTTCATTTATTCTCACAGTAAACTCTAGGAGATAGTTGCTAGCAAGGGGCAAACATCAAATTTGAATACAGGGATAAGACTGGGTGCGGTGGCTCACACTTGTAATCCTAGCACTTTGGGAGGCCAAGAAGGGCAGATCGCTTGAGTCCAGGAGTTTGAGACTAGCCTAGGCAACATGGTGAAACCTCACCTTTACAGAAAAACATACACACACACACACAAATTAGCCAGGCGTGGTGGCATCTGCCTGTAGTCCCAGCTACTTGGGGGGCTGAGGTAGGAGGACTGTTGGAACCCAGGAGATTGAGGCTGCAATGAGCCAGGATTGTACCACTGCACTCCAGCCTGGGTGACAGAGGGAGACCGTCTCAAAAAAAAAAAAAAAAAAAAAACAAGTTTAGCTGATTCAAAAGTTTGAGCTCAAGCTTAAACAAACAAAAATCACAAACACACTCCATTATATAAAACTGGGCTGGGGCCGGGCGCGGTGGCTCACACCTGTAATCCCAGCAGTTTGGGAGGCCGAGGCGGGCAGATCACGAGGTCAGGAGATTGAGACCATCCTGGCTAACACGGTGAAACCCCGTCTCTACTAAAAATACAAAAAAAATTAGCCAGGCGTGGTGGCGGGTGCCTGTAATCCCAGCTACTCGGGAGGCTGAGGCAGGAGAATCACTTGAATCTGGGAGGTGGAGGTTGCCATGAGCTGAGATGGCACCATTGCACTCCAGCCTGGGCCACAAGAGCAAAACTCCGTCTCAAAACAAAAAAAAAAACAA